GGGGGGGGGGAAAGCGTTACAGCCTGCAAACTCCATTTTACTTAAGATTACACTGAGGGGCTAACGCATACCATCTGCACTTGGGTTGGTTTGCCTCGTCGTCCTTTTCACGGTTTCCCAGGTTCTGGTGGAGGAAAACAGGATGAAGTGTTAGCGGGAAACTTGTGTGATAATGAAGTGGTGTCAGTCGTAGAGCGGACAGTACCTGGTACTTCCGGAACGGTCCACATAGGTCGTCTTCTCCAGCTTCAGCCATTGTCCTGCTGCCAGGAGCTGAAACAGATGAAGTCATGCTACTCTGTAATCACAATGTCTCTACGGCCAATCAATGTCACAAGTAACCAGCAGAAGCTTTCCTACAGAGCAGTGTGAGTACTGAAAGGGTATTTCAGCTTAAAAGCTATCGAAATGAATACATTAAAATCATTGTACTCGTGGGATGATTTTAAAAATGATCAATCAAAGGGCCAATTTGGTTTGAATTGTGTAATAGTGTCTACTTTAGAAGATATTCCTCAGTGGTGTGCATGACAAATCAGTAATATCTTTAAAAATAGTTTGAAATATATAATATGCTGCTTTGCATTGCTTGATATTACACATTGATGAGTTAGGATTGGGGATAATAGTTGGTAAAGAATATGAGTTTATGAGAAATTATAAGTTATAGTTTAGACACACAAATAAAGCCTGAAAACAGACGCAGTGTTACCTCTTCTTTCACTACGTGTGGAGCACAAGTCTCTTTAGGGGCCTCAGGGTTGCTCATTTTCACTCTCTGGATATCTGCAAACGGAGGAAAGTCGAGTGAGAAAGCTTCAAATCAAAAGGCGAATATGTTGATTACAAGTTAAGCTATAAAACTAATCAGATTTAACAAAAAACACCGAGAGCTGTGATCATAGGATTGAAAATTAGCCAAACTTTGAGCTTTTCTCTTCGGGTACCATTACCTAGATGCTTATAGTCAGTTATACTGCCAGAGATCATGTATTTTTCACTTACACTAATCATACACTAGAAACGAACAAACTAAACTGAACTCACGTGAAATCCCAACCGCAATGAATTGAGAGAAAGAGATAATATATAAGAAGCGATGAGTCAGTCTGCTTCTACTTCCGGAGACTAGTTTTATTCCTCAGTGAGGGAACATACATACTTTTAATCCCAACTAACTACTTATATTGTATAATTTCTGCATTTTCAAAGGCATTCAATAGCACACCAATACATGCAACAACAAAAAATAACTATTATTTTATGTATCTACTTTGATTTTAGGATCCTGCTATTGTGCATTGGCTCTCTGTCAAGGCTTGACTACAGCCATTGTTAGTGTTGTTAGTACATTTAATTTAGCACTAATTACATGTAATATCAAAATAATGTCTGAAATGTTTATCAATGGTGTAATCAGTATCTCATGTCATGTGTATTTGGAAAAGTAAAAATGTGTGCTCTGAACAAAGCAAATGTAGTTTTTTAAGGTGCTAAGTGATTCCTCTTTTAATAAACGATCTATGTCCCAAATTCACCGACCACGCCCACACGTACGTCTCACAAAAGCTTCCCCTTCTGTAAACACATACATAATTCTATAAATAAAGCTCATTTTGTTTACCAACGTGATTCAAATGCAATAAAATACATTCATACCAGCGCAAATGGAAAGCATTGCTTCATAAAAAGGTCAATATATTACATAACAATGGTCCGGCCACATTTAGGGACCAGGAGTTCGGAAGATATATACTGTTGCACTGTTTTACATTTCAGGATATTGCAGCATGAAGAAGGAGCAAGTGGCCAACTGTCAGTTTTCGGTTTGGTATCCAATATTCAAGAAACATACGATTAAAAGGTAAACAGCAAATGTTTGTACAGAAAGTCCCGGACAAATGCACATTGTTGTTGCTGTAAACGCTAGCGCTAGTCCATTTAACCGAAGCCTAACGCAGCTACTTGCCTGTCTTTCTATTTATTATCGTGTGTATTATAACATCCTTTTGTTCTGGGCAGCTCCATTAAACCCCTTTCTTCTTCTCATGTCTGTTGTTTCTTTTTTTGCAGTGTGATTCTCCCGCTGCCTCAAAATGTAATAGAGTATTTACTGGACGATGGCACACTGGTAGTCTCTGGAAGGTAGGGACCCTTATTCATGCATCATGTAACAAACAGGCCACGAGACTTTAAGCAGTTCCATCTACAACACACATTTTCTCCAACTCATAATATGAATCCTGCTAAATCATTATTTTCTGCTTTCTTTTCTGTCAGTGGCCATGACAATGTGCACAATAACAACAGCAACTCGGACGAAGAAGAGGACATTCAGGTACAGAGACCAAGGCTATTTTCACTATTTTTCCATTTATAAATACACCCTCTAAGTCATACCTATCTTATCACTTCAAATATATATAGATATCACAGTAAATCCCAACATGCATTTAATTTAGCTGTTTTTTCTCCTTCCCTCCAGTGGTCAGACGATGAGACAACCACCACTGTCACTGTACGTACTTTGAATGTTGATCTGTGCCCAATCAAAATGTTGCATTTATTGACGCCTAATAAAATGTGTTATGCAGTCTATATTAGCATGATTTGGTCAGTTTTGTAACTCACTTTATGCTACTGCTCTCTGCATTTTACAGTAATACCATTCTTTCTTTTCATACACATTTTATAATTCAGTAGTTGTGACCGCCATGTTATGATGATGTTGTTGTGTGTCTAGGCACCTGAGTTCCCAGAATTCACTTCCAAAGTGCTGGAGGCCATAAACACTCTGGGCGGGCGCGTCTTCCCCAAACTCAACTGGAGCGCTCCACGGGTAAATAAAACTGCACTCAAATGAAAAACTGTATGCCTAAGAAAATATACCTTTTTAAAAAAATAAAAAAATAACCTGTAAATTGTTTGTTGTTTTGGTGTTTTTTGCTCCACTTCATTGTTGGACACAACTTAACAATGCTTTTTTGTTGTCTTTGTGTGTGTCAGGATGCTAACTGGATTGCTCTGAACAGTTCCCTGCAGTGTGACAGCCTCCGTGATATATTCCTGCTCTTCAAAAGTTCTGACTTCATCACTCACGACCTGACGCAGCCGTAAGCCTCTCCTCCCAACGACATCAACACACACATTTCGCATTTAGATGGCAACCGATATCCACAGCGTGCTTGCGTGTGCCTGAGTAGAGAAGTCAACGTGATATATTGTATTTAATATGTTCAAAACAAACTTGCTGAGGTCAGGTTTGCAGTGTTGCGGATCAAATGACAGTGAAAATAAAAATAGAAATGATAATCAGATCAGAATCGATAAACAACCCTTATGATGCTGCATAACATTTGTATATTTTTTTTGTATAGCGATTGTAACTTCATTTCTTTCTGCAGATTCCTTCAATGTAGTGACCAGGACTCCCCAGATCCAGTCATTAACTATGAGGTATTTTAACTCTACAGTATTTTGATTAGCTTGTGTTTTGATCTGTTGTTCTGATGCAATTACAAAGTCACTTTTGCTATGAAGGGAAATCTGTTATATTATCAACATGTAGTTTGACTTGACCACCTCCTCCATGTTGAAATAGGTGCAATGTTCATTGTTATTGAGTAATCCTGTAATATCTGTGCTGTCCTCAGCTGGTCCTGAGAAAGTGGAGCGAGCTGATTCCTGGCGGAGAGTTTCGCTGCTTCGTGAGAGAAAACAAACTGATCGGTAAAAACTCTGCGTCCACAATTCATTCTGGATTTTTGGAAAGAAAATCAATATACTAATTAAGCAGTGATTGCTATCAACCAATTATGTAATATAACCCTGTATAATCATGTTCTGCTAATTCATTTGACTTCACTACAACCAAGAAAAACATGTACTTTTTACTACACTACATTAATCTGACATTAATCACTAGTTACTTACCTAAAACATTCTGACTTATTATATAGAATCTGAACATTACATTACACTACATAGTAATCAATAGATTTAAGCACAACATTTACAAACTGGGATTTAATACAATAATATAGTATTTATTTTTCTTTAACTTTTGGTTCCTTCAGTATATTTCGGTGCTGATACTTTTTCTTAAATGGCCCCTCCCTATTATGCAAATGTTCAGGTTCATATGTGTATTTTCTTCCTCTACTGTGACATGTTTACATGCTTTTAATGTTCAAAGATTTCTTTATTGTTCTCATACTGCCTGTGCTGCAGCACCTCTTTTCACCCTCTGTCTGAAACCAGAGCCCAGTCTGCTCTGATCGGTTAGCTGGTCGGCTCTGTTGTGATTGGTCAACCACTTAGAGACGTCCCAGCCCTTAGCCATCACATACAATGAGCTATAGCACTTATCGATTTAATAAGCGCGAGTGTTACGGAGTGATGTCACCAGGTGTTTTTCTAGAGAAACTACCTCTGGAGGGAACTTTAGGATTTTAGCCTTTGCAGACCATTGACACTAAAACCTATAAAACACACTACAGGACAGGGAAAACCCCAACAAGCATAACGGGGCCCCTTTAAGTAACATTTTGTATGAAGGGCTAACAGAGTATTTAAACAAACTGTTAACGAAACAATGCATCTCACAGTATGAGCCACTCAATTGGATTAGCATGCTGGATTTGTACAGAACTGAGCTGAATATGTCTGAAATGGGAATTAGTTTGATTGCTATAGATATAGTGTTTAATGCTGGACCTATCGGAGCTCCCCTCATGGTGTGTGTCTGTGTTGGCAGCTATCTCCCAGAGGGACTACACACAGTATTACCATCACGTGTTGAAGCAGGAGGAGCAGGTCAGTCACGCCATCCAGGAGTTCTTCAGCCAGCACGTCCAGTACAACTTCCCTGACGAAGACTGTGAGTGTTTCCCCTCCTCTGTCTGTGCCAAGCTCCACTAACACACAGCAGGAAAAGCAGAAAACACAGATCCAATGTGTCTCTATTCAAAAATATGACGTGTGTTGATGCAAATGTAAGATGACTGTGTTTCTGTTTTACAGTTGTGTTTGACGTCTACAGAGATAGTGAGGTGAGCACACTGATGCATTTTGACATAGTCCACTTTAAAATAGTCACTCGCAAACTGAGTTACACTTCGTGTGTGTGTGCAGGGCAGGGTGTGGCTGATAGACCTGAACCCCTTCGGAGCGCTCACAGACTCTCTGCTCTTCAGCTGGGAGGAGCTGAGGTCAGGAGGGGAGATCTCCCAGCAACAGGTGAGCTTTCATGACACGCTTTCTAAAATCAGACTTCATTGTGCGGAGCTTCACAAAGACCCAGAAGAGAATCAAAGTATTTGTAGTGAGGGTGAACTTTCGGCCGCTCTTAAAGCCCCTGTCACACTGTCCCGAAATTGACACCCGATGGACACACGAATATGGAATTGTGAATTTCGCACGAAGATGGCCCCGAACCAAACACGAAGGCAACATTTACATTACATTTAAGACATACAACTGCAACGAAAGTAACACAAACAATTATGTTAAAGTATTATGATACTGTACTGGTATTTTCCGACTTTGTTCTTTACTTTCTCCGTCTTTATATGTAGAAGATATTAAGTTTTCTCCGTCATGTTGTTTCCATAGCAACAACAACTTCCTCGCCTTCAAAATAATATATTATATCCTTTTTAGTTTCACAGAACACAAATTGGGTTATTTACATCATATGTTTACATGATTTTGTTGTGCATTAAAACAACCAGATGGACACACGATAAAGGAAATGTTCAAATTCGGCTCTGATCGTAGCAACATCGGGCCATTCGTGAGGGCATCTTAAGCCATCTTTGGCATGCCAAAGATTTTGCCACCGCTCCCGAAGTTGCTGCCGGAGCCTGATAAATTCCACCGGCGGTCATACGATGGCTTAAGATGCCCTCACGAATGCCTTACGAAGGGCAAAATGGACACACGAAGTCAACACGAAAATGAACCTTCACAAGGTCCTTCAGCAATGCTTTGTGATGCCAAAGATGTTGCCACCGCTCCCGAAGTTGCTGCCGGAGCCTGAGAAACTCCACCGGCGGGCATACGATGGCTCAAGATGCCCTCACGAATGCCTTACGAAGGGCAAAATGGACACACGAAGTCAACACGAAAATGAACCTTCACAAGGTCCTTCAGCAATGCTTTGTGATGCCAAAGATGTTGCCACCGCTCCCGAAGTTGCTGCCGGAGCCTGAGAAACTCCACCGGCGGTCAATACGATGGCTTAAGATGCCCTCACGAATGGCCCGATGTTGTTACGATCAGAGCCGAATTTGAAGATTTCCTTAATCGTGTGTCCATCGGGTGTCAATTTCGGGACAGTGTGACAGGGGCTTTAATAAATCAGAAGTTCAAACTGTTTTATGGTGACTCTATTTTTCTGTGCAGGAGGGCCCGGCGTTCCGCTGCACCACCAGCGAGGTGACGGTGCAGCCCAGCCCCTGTCTGAGCTACAGAATCCCTCGGGACTTTGTGGATCTCTCCACAGGAGAAGATGCCTACAAACTCATGGACTTCCTCAAACTGGTAAGAGTCGAGGATCAGTCATTGTTTTTCTCCAACACAACACTATGTAATTGTCCGTTATGCTACACAAGGTAATGAAACAGGACAAAGTACATTGCTGTAGTCGTACATTGTATTGTCATTAATGTTAAACGACAAAGACAGTAGTGAGCATATGTTCAGAGTACGTCATTTATCCTGGGGAAAGTTGTGTTCGATTTTTGAATGAAGTAAATAAAAGATGAAAAAAAGAATACAAGTATTTATTAAAACATAAGAAATTAAAATAAGAATGTGCAATAAAATAGACATTTTTATAAAGTTCAGAAATTAAAATATAAATATTTATATTTACAAAAAAAATTAAAATGTCCATTAAAAGATCAAATATAATTAAAATATTTATATTAACATAAAGTCACATTTTAAAATTTCCAATAGAATAAAAAAGAATATAAATATTTGTATTTACTAAAAAGTCAAATTTAAAATGTCTAATGAAAGATAAAAATATTGATATTGACATAAAGAGTAAAAAAGAAAATGTCCAATACATTTGAATAAAAATATTGATATTAACATAAGAAATCAAAATAAAATGTCCAATAAAAGATAAAAATAGAATACAAAATATTTATTTAAACACAATAAATTATACATATTTTACTACAATACTTCATGGCAATATATCTACTGGTGTATTAGCATTAATAAGATACTATTGCTGAATTGCACAGTCTAAAAGGGTTTGGCTGCTGACAGTAAAGTGTGACTTTTCCTTTACAGAAGAAAAGCCAACAGGAAGCTTCTGAGGAAGAGGAGGAAGAGGGAAATGCTCCAAAGTGAATCTGAAGCCCTCCACACGATGTCGTCTGCATGACTCTCCACCCTCTGTCCTGCTAGAGCTTATTTTTCCTTTCAGCCTGTGAGCGGTACGCGCTGTACTCCAGGTCTTTGAACATCTGTCTGGTGTTAGTCTAATGGAACATGCTACATTAGCGCAGCATGCTAACGGCTCTCTGAGGACTCATGTTCTGCTCGGACACTGCTGAGCCGTCCAGCACTTTATTAAGGGGGGGGTGTTACTGCTGCGGGATGTATTCTCTCACACTGTGTAGAACGGCTGATTTTATACTTTGAAATAAGTGTGTTTAATAGTTTGATTGTCTTTCTTGCTGCTGGATTTAAAAGGAACTCACACATTTAATTGAACTAGTGTGTTGTGAGGCTGTGACAGATCCAACACTAACGCTGTTTGTCACTTTACATTTCCCCCGCCCTCCTCCTCCATCTCTCCCTGCCTATCCCCTCTGAACACTTTTGACACACTCATTGCTCCGAAGTCGCTCCAGGCACTCTTTCCCAGTCCTGTTTTCCCATCATGCATTGCTTTAGACTGTTGCTTCGAAAGAACACCATTAAACTTGTTGTCGTGTATCGGCTCGGCTGTCAGTCTGGGGTGGGGGGCTGTAAAAACGGCACATTACAAAATGGATTGTTCTTTTTTACGCAGCATCTCTCATTACGCCAGGAGCTAAATGAGCTGTGTGCGCACACAGCAGGGCACTTCATTTCGGCTTGGTTTTTTTCTTCACTCCTGGCAGAGCAATTACAGTGCGATGGAAAGAGCCGGTGTGATCAGAGTTACACCTCCTCAGTGTACGAGGGAATAGCGTGGGGTACGTTGCACATTGATATATAATTGATCATAATTTGAAATAAAATCGGCCTGTAAACAAAGCACCAGAACAGCAGCAGGTGAAGGATAGGCTTCACTGTTTACCAGTAAATACAGAGTTTAGCCAACGATGAACTCCAATCCTTCTACCAACAATCGTAATGTGAGAAATATGATAATACAAAAAGAATCCATTTCATTTAGTGAATTGTAAAGATGAATAAATTGCTCCTTTATTATGTTGTTGTGTTCATAGTTTAAAATAAAAGAAGATATAAAAATAGATGGAACTTAATCCCAATGCTGAGCTTTGAATCATGAATAGAATCAGTGGAAATGAACTTCCTACCTAGGCTCTTGTACCTTTTCCAGAATACCAATTGAAATCACAGACGGGCAGTTTAATGAATGGGATAAAACCATATCAAGGTACATCTGGCAAGGGAAGAAACCAAGGATTAGATTCTGTACTCTTCAACTAGCAAAAAACAAGGGAGGAGTATCGCTCCCCTGCTTGAAGGACTACTATATATCAGCCCAATTAAGAAGCTTGTTCTGCTGGTGCAAGCCAGACTACAGAGCTAGATTGAAAGAAGTTGAGAATAATGTATCAGGAGGAGCATGAGGCAAGGTTAGGGGATAAAATATATGTTAAAAACGTACTGGAAAAAGATAACCGCTGGATAAACCTCTCTTTAAAGTTATGGTTAAGGGTCCTTACCAGGAGTGACTTGCTGGAGGAAATGAAGATATTAAGATGGTGCTCACATGATCTTGATTTTACCCCGAGCAAGCTAGATACAAAATGTAAAGGTTGGGCCAAACATGGCCTTACTTCAGACTGCAATTTCTTCAGTAAAGGAACCATGACCCATTTTCAAACAATAAAAAAAACGATATGGGTTGAATAACGGTGATTTTTTATTTTATTTCTACAGGTACGCCACTACTTAAACAGTTCTCTGTCAGACAGTCAGAAGGCCCTTGGTTTTCACCAGTGCATCAGACACAGGGATGAAAGTAATCTCAAAACTTTACAAAGCTCTTCAAGATATTAAAAAGGAAAATACTTTCTACATATAACACAAATGGGAAAACGAAACCAAAGAAAGTATCCCTGACAAAGTCTGGACAAATGACTGTACTTGTCAATGGAAGATCTCGAGCTCAGGCACCTACAGAATGTTTAGTTGGAAGATGCTGAGCAGGTACTTTTTCAGCCCTGCTCAGTCATCACATCATCTAGGTCCCCCCAGCTGCTGGAGGAAATGTGGTTCTCAGCTAGCACATCACTACCATTTGTTTTGGGCTTGTCCTTTAATAGTAATTTTTTGGGAAAAGATTCATATCGAAATTGAAATAATACTACAGGAAAAAATCCCTTTAAACTGGGACGAATTTCTATTTGGGCTCGTACATTCAATTTCCACAAACCTTAAAACAAAAATATTATTTGGAATTCTTACTGTTGCAGCAAAAAAAAAGCAATAACTAGAAAATGACTTAAAGCGGACATCCCTTCCCTTGACAACTGGTACGACAAAATCCATGAAGTTAAGGAAATAATTACTTTCTCAATGAGGCTTCAGGAAAACACATTTGAGGAAATATGGAAAAAGTTGAGAATTTACATATCCCAAAGACAACCATGTCTTGTTGGACTGTGCCTCTATACACCGATTGAATGTATATGTATAGCTGTGTATGTATGTGCACATGTATGTGTGTATGTATATGTGTGTATATATGTATGTTGATATATATGCATATATAGTTGTATGTATATGTGTGTGAATGTCTGTGTACATACATGCTTGTGTATATGTATGTATACAGTATATGTGTATATGTATGTCGGTGTGCTTGCATATGGGTATATGTATGTATATGTATAATAAATATACATGTATATATGTGTACGTGCGTGTGTTTAAGTAGATGCCTTGAAATGTTTTGGCTCTATGAAACCTGATCTTCAAGTTTGTATCTTCTTGGTCGAATGCACTTATTGTAAGCCGCTTTGGATAAAAGCGTCAGCTAAATGCAATATAATGCAGGAGTACATGTGTAGATATTTGACATTTCAAACAACCCCTGTGTACTTTTTCGTTTTTATTTCATTTAATAATAATAATAATAATAATAATGCATTAAAAAAATGTATTAGAGCGCTTTTACAGGTGCTCAAAGCGCTTTACAATGACACATTACACATATTAGACATGTAAGAGTCATTACTGTGGACATTACCCACATTTGAATAATTTTGTTTGGTATTTCATTTGTCATTTTCGGGTGTCTAAAAATATATGATTTGCAAAACGATACTTTTAATATAATGTGACCCCGAATAAATAAAGAATAAAAAAAAAAGTAAATCTCACAAAAAGATAACCCAATGTAGGGAAGGCCAACAATCTCAGTAAACAAAATTATTCCGTTTTGATTCAACCAGCTAGATCGTTCACTATTGCTCTTCGGAAATCTTTTTCACAGCAGACATTATGACTTTATGACTCACAGGCGTTACTAATACATTTCAAAGATGACTGTGACACCATCTGTTTTATTTGCTCCACCTGGGCCTTTCTTGCCGAGGCGTGTCTGACTGCGTAGTTTACTGACAGACGTCATGGCTGTGGTATGAGCAGGTCTATGTATTTAATGGAGTCATTGATGACATGGGGGGACATTGTAATGCTTCTGTTCCGCCTGTGCACACCATGGAGTCATCTTCCTCCACCTTCATCCTCTTTAAATGATCTGATGCCCTTTGCTTCTCCTCCTCCTCCTCCTCCTCCTTCCTTTTGCAGCTGGGTAATCATCTTTCATCAGGGGAGGTCAGATCTGCTGACTTGGAGTAAAGCGTGAGGGAGGACGGGGGAGGGAGAGCAGTTTCCTGGCTGATGCTGAGGAAGAGCTGCAGTAGTTTGCAGCTAGAATACTCATGAGAAGCTGCAACACATTCCACCACTCCTCCCTCTGTCTGTGTCTCCCCCCCCCCACACACACACACACACACTACACACTCACACACAGTTACCCGGCCAGAGCTGACCCAGGGATCAGAGCACGGTTTAAGCCCGGTGAAGGTGAGGCTGCAGCCGGGTCACAGCTGATCCACGTGCCGCTGTGTGGAGCCCTGCTGTTGGAGGTCCCATAGTGAGTGCATGATGGTGCATTGCGAACTAACACCATCACTCCTTTTACCGGACAAGATGCAAGAGCAGCATCCCATCAGGTCTTTTTTTTATCTACATAACAACATGCATTGCCAAAATATGGCTCCGTTTTAGTATTATTGTACACAGTTTAGCATGTAGTGAATGAAATAAAACGCATCAAGTTGTTGTGCAGAAGAGGAAAACCCGAAAATCGTTTGACGTCAGACATGCAGGACCGCGGTCAAGCTACGCATGCGTAACAGCGTATTACAGGAAACTTGGGGAAATTGCTTTAAAAATAAAACAGAAATGTGAGAAATGTTTTTTGAAATTGCTCAAATTTGGCAAACAAATCTTTAGCCTACCTGTGAAATAGTAAAAACTAAATAGTGTCTGGAGAGGAGATGAGAGGTCATTTTGGGGTTTGGCTGTCATGGAAAAGGCTCGGTTTGTATCAAATTATTATTTTTGTATTATATAACATCACCAGAGTCATCAAATTGACCTTCGCTTTTCCAATTGAATTGATTGTTTTTTGTTTATCTTAGGGTATATGCAGCTCTGGAAAAAACTAAAAGACTATTGCACATTTTTCTTTAATCTCAATCTCTACATGTATGTCAGCCAATCCAACACAGAGAAAGGTTGTCAGTAGTTTATAGAATAAAAGAAAAAATGATAATTTTACTTAAAGGCATAACTCTAATTAGTAAAACCAAAGAAACTGATAACTGTGCAGTGGATTCTTTATTTTTTCCAGAGCTGTATATATATAATATATATATATATATATTATATATATTAACCCATACATTTGATGTATGATGTATGGCTTTACTATATTAGTCCTAATAATGGTAATATACGCATTATATTGTGAACATTATGGAACATCTTAACAAATCTGTAATGTGTAAATAATAATGTATTCATGTTCCACGTTGTGTAAATATGCAGGCTTTTATTTTTGAAAGATCTGACGGGAAGTGATGTTTTCTACTCGTGAAATTGACAGCAGCTGTTTAAATAACTGGAGAGGTGCAGGAGAGAGAGAGAGAGAGAGAGAGAGAGAGAGAGAGAGAGAGAGAGAGAGAGAGAGAGAGAGAGAGAGAGAGAGAGAGAGAGAGAGAGAGAGAGAGAGAGAGAGAGAGAGAGAGAGAGTAGTAGTAGTAAGTAGTAGTAGTAGTAAGTAGTAGTAGTAGTAGTAGTAGTACGTAGTAGTAGTAGTACGTAGTAGTAGTAGTAGTAGTAGTAGTAGTAGTAGTAGTAGTAGTACGT